ACCGGATTTTATTAATTGGGTACTGATTCCAAAGCGCTAACCGTTAAGGATCACTGCCATCTCACATCTGTCCGTGTCATTTCGAGTCCAGGCTCGGATAACGTGGTAACTGAGAAAGCCTGCCAGTAGCTTCTCGTAGGTCGGTGGTTGTTCCCGGTGTTTTCCAGCGTTCTCTCTCCACCATTATTTCTGGCCGCCTATAATGTGCTGAAAAATGGCGTTAAACCATATAACAACAACAACAACCTTCTTTTATTGTTCTGTAACACTAACCATCTATTCTTGATTTCACAATAATTTAAAACTAAACGATTGGCATCTCAAATTTATAACGAATGGCGTTTTTCTTTCTAAGCAAACGTTGGACAGGATTACCCAATATAGGGCAACATAATGGCACATTTTCTTAATTACATATATCCATATCTTACTTACATACTTACATATTCACTTAATAATTACACACACACACACACACACACACACACACACATATATATATATATATATAAGATAGGAAGATAAGATAGGAATTCTTTGTTTCAGACTGCATAGTCCATACATCTAAATTAAAATACTGATATAGTGTAAAACATTGTAAACATAAAAGAACATATATACATAAATATATACATATATATATATATACATATATATATATATATATATATATATATATATATATATATATATATATATATATATATATATATATATATATATTACAATCCACCCACACACTTCTTAGTCCAACTCCTGGAGCTTGTCCTAAAACTCAAAAACTTTGAATTTAATGAAGAAAACTATCTACAAATCAATGGAACTGCAATGGGTACTAAAATGGTTCCTTCGTATGCTAACATTTTCATGGGAAAACTTGAGGAAAAGCTCTTAACATCGGTTGAGCGTACACCATACCAGTGGGTACGCTTTATCGATGATATAGAAATGAAGTGGCAGTATGGAAGAGAAAGTCTGAATGACTTCATATCAAAGGCAAACAACTTCCATCCTTCAATAAAATTTACGGCAGAAATTTCCAACTCAAACCATGTTTCCCTGGACACAACAACCAGACTGGTGGAAAACAAATTACACACAGACATCTACTCGAAACCAACCGACAAACACCAGTATCACCTCCCAACCAGCTGTCATCCAAAACACTGCATTACGAACATTCCATATAGCCAGGCACTGATACGCAGAATTTGCTCCGACGATGAAAGATTCCTAGAAAGGTCTGAAGAGCTGACTAAACATTTAATTTACCGAGGCTACGACAAAGACATGATTGCGGAGGCAATCCAAAGGGCCAAACAAACAAACCGTGATGACCTACTCAGATATGGACAGAAAGTAAAGGTTGATAGGATACCATTTATTCTGACCTATCATCCAGACAATCCCAAAGTAGGTAAAATCATCGCAAACCACTGACCAACCGTGAAATCGTCAGACATACTAAACCTAATACTTCCGAACAAACATGTAGTAGCTTACCCTAGACCAAAAAACCTAAAGGACATCCTAGTCAGGGCAAAGCTAACGCCAATCGCTATTCAAAAACCAACCTAGTCAATCTGGACCCTGTGGCGATAAAAGATGCAAAACCTGTCAACATATGATAGAGACCAAGACATTCACTAGCATAGTGACTAAAGAAAAACTAAACATACATGGTCCAAACAAAACGTGCAAAACAGAGAATGTGATTTATCTCATCACATGTAAGATCTGTGGCCTTCAGTACGTCGGAGAAACTGAAAAGCTACACAAAAGGATAAACCTTCATAGATCTGATTGGACGACAGAAAAGCTGTACAGAAGCCCGGTCGCAGAACACTTCTCCCCTGGCCACACTTTCAGTGATATAATACTTATCGCTATTGCTAACAACCACAGCTGGAGTTCCGAAACCAGGAAGGAAAAGGAATCATGCTGGATACGCCGCCTTAGAACATTGAAACCAAGCGGTCTAAACCAAGAAGACTAGAAAATGAAAACTATGCACTAGTAGAATTTAACATTTTCTAAATCTTCTTATTATCCTTCAATTTTTACTATAAGAATAACCGGTATAGAATCAAATATCCTGGATATAATCTGCGTTACATATGTACAAAAAGTAAAAATAGATGTCGCTTTGGCTTGTAGACTTTTAGGGAATTATACAACGTTTTCAGTTTCCGCAACTAGTCTATACAAGCTGGTTGTATTTATAGTTTTAGCACATGTGAAGACAGCCATGTAGAGGTTTACAAACACAACGTTTTTGTGTTTATTTGTTTGTCGTATATATGTTTTGTATTTGCCTTTGAAAAAGACTCGTTAAGAGTCGAAAGCGCTTAGGCTAGTTAGTTACTAGTTACGTACTGTTCGTCGTCAGTTTATTGCATCTATTTCAATTAATCCCTGACACACGTGATCCCTTGGTGGATCCAGTACGCTTAAAAGGGTTGTTATTCGCCATATGATTTGTATTCTTTCTATATATATATATATATATATATATATATATATATATATATATATATATATATATATATATATATATATATGCATATACACACACATACATAGACACACACACACACACACACACATATATATATATATATATATATATATACATACATACATATATACATATCATATGTACAAGTATTCAGATACATTACAACAATTATTTGCGCCATGCATTGTTAAAAAATGAAATTTAAGTGACACATTTAAATAGTAATTGGTTCCATCTACTAACAATGTGAGAACTTAAATTAATGTCATATTTCCAAAGTGATTTCAATATACAGTTCTCACTTTTAGAAAGTCTTGTTATCATTGAATATACATACTTTCTCATTACTTCCTCAAAACTTAATACATTATAATCTACAAACATGTTGGATTTACTGTTCCATCAAGGAAGACAAGACCTAATAGAAAGCGAAGACTATTATTATAACCAATTACTAGGTTTCTTTTCACATTTTCTCTAATGTTTGTCCACAGTGGAGCACAATACAAAAATTATATATATATATATATATATATATATATATATATATATATATATATATATATATATATATATATATATATATATATATATATATATATATATATATTATTTACATATCCATTTAACTACATACCCAATTTTCATCACATCTTTATTTTAATTGACATATCCATTTTTTATTTCTCTTGAATAAAATGACTCTTGCAAGTGACCAAGAATATAGAAATGACGTCATTATAACAGCTTGCAAAGAGGCCCCAGACGTGTAGTGTGCTCTTTGAACAATGTCTATGTATAACGATAAAACCCCACTGATATCAGTTTGAAAACAGTAGGATATTAAGCGTCTTTGGTCTAGGCCATTGTGATTTGCTCCTGAACGAACAAACACAACATAGTTTTTCGTATCTATTTAAAAAAAATACTTTCATCGTTAAAAATCTATTTTATTTCTACTCTATTTTGCGGTTAAATGACAATTATTAATAATAATAATAATAATAATAATAATAATAATAATAATAATAATAATAATAATAATAATAATAATAATAATAATAATAATAATAATAATAATAATAATAATAAATAATAATAATAATAATAATAATAATAATAATAATAATAATAATAATAATAATAATAATAATAATAATAATAATTAATAATAATTATAATAATAATAATACATAATAATATTAATAATAATAATAATAATAATAATAATAATAATATGATGATGATGATGATGATGATAACAATAATATCAATACTAATACTGCTAATAATAATAATAATAAATATAATAAAAAATAATAAAAATATTTACAATAATATCAATACTACTACTATTAATAATAATAATAATAATAATAATAATAATAATAATAATAATAATAATAATAATAATAATAATATTTATTATTATTATTATTATGATTATTATTATTATTATTATTATTATTATTATTATAGCTGAGTCTGTATCATTGGAACAGTCGGTTATTGTTTCGAGAATGTTGAGCTATGACTAAACAACAGACAATATGTTTTTTGTCACTGGCTAAAGTTAGTGACCAATTTTTAAAAATGATTTTCAGTATTGGTTAATTACCGATTTACCAACAAATATAGTTACGATATATGTTACTAAATTCATACCGTTAATAACATTCTTTTTGAGTACTCTCAAGCACATCGTGATTCAGAAAGGAAGACGTTAATCATCGAGTTGCGGGGTGAAATGAAACACTTGATGCCTCGTTTTATCCACTCTCTAGAAAGTGATCCACGTAAACTGTCTTTAAGTGATTCTGCATGAGAGAAAGAGAGAGAGAGAGAGAGAGAGAGAGAGAGAGAGAGAGAGAGAGAGAGAGAGAGAGAGAGAGAGAGAGAGAGAGAGAGAGAGAGAGAGAGAGAGAGATCATAACTATCAGCATTTTAAGCTTTGGATCCGAGTAAAATTCCATTCAAATTCAAAATGAAGCTGATCCTGAAATGTAATCCACCTTACAAGAGCAAGCCAATTCTTACTGAGTTTTACCCTCGAGGGTACGATATATGGAATATAAGCATCAAAAATACATGTCTTCCATGAAAAACACAAACGTTCTAAATTATATGTGAGAATGTACTTTTAAACTTATTCATCCAATAAGATTAAACCATCACATTCTTCACAAAATATATTTTTTCATTTCACATTTTTAAAAGACAAATATGGATAATTGTAGAACACATACAAATGCGTATAATGTTTTCTTCTACCGATATTCATACTTCGAAATATGCCGACCTCAAGATTACACTGATATTGAATTTATGCCGATCAAATATGTATAATAATCGATATAAACCGTTTAATTTCTTCAATTTTTTTCCATACATGATGCAGATTTGTCCTTTATTTCTCTTATGTTATAGAGAATTCATTATTTCATCTGATGCGATCTATTTCATTATATCTCTACTTTTGACCGGTTCGGTGACCTAGTGGTTAGAGCGTCCGTCTTGGATGCAGGAGGTCGAGGGTTCGAATCCAGACTGAGTCGTACCAAAGACTTATTAAACTGACTCTCAGCATTAAGAGTTTATTGTCAGGACTAGTCGGCCTGATAATGAGACTGGGTGGAACATGATGCTACATCATTCATCATAGCAATATGTCTACACAAATTGTTAAAGCTACTTTAAACATCCAAATCACACACACACACACACACACACACACAAACACACACACACACACACACACACACACACACACACACACATACACACATTTCTACTTCACAATGCAAACTGTACCATAACCCGTCGGTGAAAAGAAAGGGCACATTCAACAATTAGGTCATAAATAATGCAATGTATCATACACTAATGTTGTCAATGAAGACACAGATACAATCGACAATAGGGCCCAAGTTTTCTGCAGAAAAACAATAAACAAATGCTCACAATTCAATATCCACATGCTGAATCAAATGGACTTAACCATCAGATGGTTTTGACATCGTGTTTGATTATCACAAATGCATAATAATTCTAAAAACGCTTACTTACCGAGAGTTGGAGTGATTCTTCTGCTAAACAAACTTTACTGTTAGAGGTCTTGACAAATAAAACATACACATGCGCATATATACCGTCAGCTACAGTACATGAAATAATGAATAATACAATTACGAACAGGCGAACGTACGTGAAGCTGTTGTAAACTTTATAACGCAGTGGATTGGTCAAGACCCACCTTGTCATAATGTGCTGATATATAACTGATTCTCGACTCTTGATATCCATGTCTCAGGGCATTAACCCTTTGTGACCTTGAATATTGATCGTATACCGGGTGTGAAATTGAATCCAAGAACAAGAACTCGACTTCGATCCATTACTTACCAAAGGAATTGCTAGTATAATCTCAGTAAGGAAAGGGTGTTCAAATTGGATCAAGCCATTACAATCTCGATCAGAAATGCTTGTTTAATTTCGATGAAACCATCATAAATCTCGGTCAGGAAAGCATGTTTAATTTGGATTAAGCCATTATAATCTCAGTCAGAAAGCATGTTCAACTTTTGAAGATGGCCGTTTATATTTAACGATGATTTTTATGCATTTTTGTATCCACGGAAAGTGTACATAGTTACACTTTCTCCAAAGAATTTACTGGCATTTGATGCGAATCAACTGACAGACGAGTATCCATCTAGGACGAGGATAGTAAGCTCTACACTTTTCTTTTAAAATTCAAAAATCCAGATCTGCTAGCGCATTATTCCATGGCAGATCCGCGGAAAGCTCCTCACAATTCGTAGAACTGAGATCGAATTGAGCTACGTTTTATCGACGCCATTTCATTCATAATTTAGTAAAACGTGAAATATCGATAAAATGAGTCAACATGGTATGGCATGTTACATGTTACATTCAAAAACGTCAAATAAGTTGCATTTTGAGTCAAGAATCCTTCTCAAATAGAATATTTCCGGTTACATATGTGTCTTAAAGACTCGGTTCTAGTTTTCTGACGTAATTTAAAGAAGTAATCTATGCTGGTAAAACAGATATGATAAAATTGTTAAAGCCAGCAATATTGGCTCATTGGTTATGAATGAGGGTTTAAGACAAAAAAGATGCTGGTTCGAATCCATCCCAAACCGGTTTGTCCAATGGGATGTACCTAGAGATAAAGTACCTTACTATAATTTTCTCGAAAGGTTATAACCCGTCACGTGTTCACGTGCCTTTGAAGGCAACTCAGTTATTCATTCATTCGAACAAACAAACTCAAGTGATCTAATTTATCGAAAACGCTAAGCTGTAAACCAATTCCGGCAACATCATATGTAGCAATGTTCTAAACCTTTTAGGTACACATTATTGCCTAATCAGCCAAGTCCCTTCAGAAGAGAGAGTAGTGTGTGTGTGTGTGTGTGTGTGTGTGTGAGAGAGAGAGAGAGAGAGAGAATAAACAGTGAAATAATATTCAAAGCTGCATTATACTAAAATAGATACTGTATTACAAATCCAAACATGCCCAGTTGATACTTAGTTATGTCAGTATCATATATAAGCCTTCACACTCATCTGTCGTTTGGCCTAGAGCATTAAGAGGGTAGTATTGGGACTAGTCTTCCTGGTGTAAGGTTAATTTAACTCGGTGGGCATGATTCTATATATATGTGGCATAATGCCTCAGTGTTGTACAAGTGCGTAAAAATCTAAATCACACACAAATCACTCTCATGAAACATATCCTGCTGTACACTTTGCGCCAGCGTTGAAGCAAGGCAAACTGTTATATGTAAACTGTCTTCACATCGCTCTGTTCTTGCTGATACATAAAGAATCCGTATTAGTTGAGAGAGTTTAACAAATTTCTGCTTCTTTGAGAACATATATAGAAGACAACAGCCATTCGGTTAACAGTAGATTACAATTTTATTAAAATATGGAGACAATTCTGTGAAGATGATAACGGAACATTGAATACTAAAAAAAGGCATCAATTAAGTAGATAGTTTTCACAATCTTCAGCTCGAGGAAACCCGTTTATCACCGACTTTAATCTTTTGTGAAACTTCTAAATTAGAGCGATGACAGGCGTTCGTGTTCAAATAAAAACGATCTCGGGCGTTTGTTGTCAATTAATTTTGATGCATGTCATGTTTATAGAACAATTTTGTCTATGCCCAATACTTTGTGCTCCGGATAAATTTCATGGATCTACGAGCAGAAACAAAGATAAGTTTTCAAGTAAATTGCTTGATATTTCTACCACATCAAGGACTACTCCTGACTACGACACGTATGATTTCGCGGATTTAATGGATCCTAATACCGCTATTGGTTCCTCAATTTGTAACTCGACCTATTCGTGCACAGAAGTTTCATTTCTACCCCGAAACTGCTTTTGCGATGACATTTGCCACCATCTTGAAGATTGCTGCTGGAATTACCAACAACAGTCCAAATCTTTTACATCCCAACCTCTGCCACCAAAAAATGTTTTCTCTTGCCTACATGTTTCGGAAATAAATTATGGTTATCCGCTTCTTATTGTGAACAAATGTCCTTTGAACTGGGATGGTTTGCGCATTAAGGAAATGTGCGAAGCACCCAGATTAGACAATCTTATTGAACGAACTTCAGTGACAGATATTCATACCGGTCTGCACTTTATGAATGCATACTGCGCATTGTGTAATTCTGTTACGGATTATCTGTTCTGGAAACCAGAACTGATGTGCAAGGAAGACTTTCACCCCGATAATGCTAGTAAAACACCCAGTACAAGAGACTGTGCTTTTCGATTTCTTCCACCGTGGCCAAACGTTACGTACCGAGCTTGCAATCAATATGGCATCATTGATGCTTGTCGTGAAGCCAACAATTCTGCCAATATGTCGGTAGTGTCTATGTGTTCCAATGGAGGGTATGCCGTTGTATATGGAGAAATGGATGCTTACAAAAATATCCACTGCGCCTTGTGCAATGGTGTGGATGAAAATATTTTACAATGCGAGCCAGTAAAACGTCCGATTTTAACAACAGATTTGGACAAAGATCCAAGAAAGTCATACAGCTATCGACTTCTTGTCGATTTAAATATTGCAGTTGGTGAAAAAGACGGTGTTCAAATAGAATACGTATTGAGATGTTCTGCTGGTGAAATCTATGATCCTTTTAAAAACCAGTGCAGCACTGTATTTTGCTACGAACCGTTTGTTTTCGAATCTGGAAAGTGTAGTTTAATACAGGATTCAAATGGAATCAAGTCCAATACAACTTTCACATTTGGAAACCAGACATGCCCCTTTGTTCTACTGAAATCTGGAGCATTTGAATTTCTTTCGGGAAAGAGAATTAGGATTTTGTCTACGGGACAAGTTTATAATGAAACAAAGTACCGTATGGAAGGGAACCAAACCTTTGTATGTGCTGATATATCTGACCTAGGAAATGGATACATGCCTATGTTTGCTAATGAAGAAGTGACTATCACATTGGCTGGAGGAATTTTATCTTTATGTGCCTTGCTTATAAATTTTGTCATTTATTCTTGTTTTCATCAGTTACGAAACATTCCTGGAAAGATGTTAATGAGCCTAATATCCGCGCTTTTTGTAGCGAACGTTCTCTTTCTTGTGTCGGCAGCATTTGAAATGGTGAATGAATTATGCATCGCTGTCGCTATAGCAATGCACTATTTTTTTCTGGCTTCGTTTTGCTGGATGAACATAATGGACTTTGACCTTTGGTGGACATTTTCCAGGCAATTTACGGTAACGAACAATGACAGGAAATCTTCAAAACGATTTTGTTTCTACTGTGCTTATGCTTGGATCCTCCCTCTTCTAATTGTGGTAGCGGCCGTATCTGTAAATTTTGCTAAAATTGACACTAATTTCCGATACTGGCAGCCTAACTACGGTGCAGGTGTGTGCTGGATCAGAAACAGAGAAGCTATGATTCTGTTTTTCATAGGACCACTCATGCTATTTAAATTGTTTGACATTGTTGCTTTTTTTGCAACGGCCGTTCATATTTACCGTGCTAGGAAACAGTCGGCAATGGTACAGAAGAAAAACAGCAAGTGTAGATTTTTAATTTACATTAAATTATCACTTATTATGGGATTGACGTGGGTGTTTGCATTAATTTCCAATATTGCACAAATTCCGGCATTGTGGTATGTATTCATTTTTCTCAACACTCTGCAGGGCGTGTTCATTTGTTTATGCTTTGTATGTACGAGGAAAGTGTTCCGATTGATAACGGCAAGAGCAATAACATTGTTAGACAAACGGAGAAAGGGATCTGAAGAGATAATGTCGTACACTGCATCTAAGTCACAATCGGGAAAAACCATACAAACTTCAGCATCTAAAAGTTCACAAGACTCAGTGTAGGAATATTTCAACACCTTGACACTTTCTTCTGTTTAATTTAAAGCAATTAGCTACATTGCTTTATATTATGTAGCGTAACTGTTCTTTACACGCTCATGAACGCACAAAAGATAACGTAGACGAACTCAGCACAATGA